TCTGCTAACTCTTCCCATTTTCTTAATTCTAGGATAGCTTTAATTGTAGGGGTAAATGTGACCCCAGTGAGCTCAGGAAAGGAATCCACCGACTGACAAACACAATACAAAGATGGGAAAGCATGCCAGTGAAACCACAAATGGCCATAAGAATCTCTGGAACTGTTTTAAAAGAGGGACGGTGTGGTCTGAAGACCCCTCTTTCTTTCCCAACTGGAAAGCTGAATGCAGCATTTAACTCCCAGGCATAGCTCAAGAAGGGAACAATTCTCATCCTAGGTTTTTGCAAAAGATCAAGATGGCAACATTGTATCAGCAGAAGTTCTGGAATTTCAAGTTACTGGAATCAGCAGTAAATCAATGATGAAGTTTCTGTTGTTAACCTAATGAGTTATGAGTGGCTACCAGCATTATGGTTATACTTGTGTTTATTCTTTGAGTGGTTCATATCAATCATCTGTTAGATGTGCTCACTTTTGAGTCTTTAATTAGGACCCTAAACCAAACCACTGACTCCAGATGTGTCAAAGCAAGTGGACTTCTCATTGTGGGATTAATTCTACTTCCCTGATAACCACTGATAGCCTTGTTTTGCTCAGAGGTTATCTGATACATTCCAGACTTACAGTCCCCAATTTACAAATACACTGTGTTCCAGAAAGCCATCTGAATGTAAGCAGGATATATTTTCCCATAAAAACAATGTTATAATCCAGGCATAGTATGCATGCTTTTTTTTTTCTTTCTTTTTGTTTATCTTCGGTGACACTGGGATATGAACTCAGGGCTTCCTGCTTGCTAGGCAGACACTCTACATTTTGCCACACCCTCAGCCCCACAGTGTGTATTAGTAATTCCAGTGCTAGGAGGCTGTGTCAGGAAGATCTGGAGTTCAAGGCCAGGTTGGGCTACAGCGCAAGACCTAACCTTAAAAAGCAACAAAACAAAACAAAAAAAAACCAAGTGCCAAAAACAAAGAAACAAAAAAAACTAACCAAATTTTTTTTTTAAATCCAAAAAACAAACAACATACTAAATTGTGATAAGATTCTATTTGGAGCATGATTTCAACATGAAAAGTCACTAATTTCAGGGAAAGTTCAGAAGTTAAAAGGAAAGTGCCCTGTACAAGCCAGTTTCTGCAATGAAAAATATTGACAATGATGGTGATGATTATAAGAGCTAATATTTGAATAGAAAGCATGCTTTTGGGACTTATCTACTGACTATTTAATTTAATACTAAAAACAATACTTTTAAGTAGGTTCTGCTATTATTCCTATACAGTTAAGGACACTAAGGCACAGGCAGGTTACATAGTTGATAACTGGCAAAACCAGGACTTGATTTCAGAATCCATGGTCTGAACCTCAAGTTGCCAAGCTATGGCTTATGGATAACTCTGGTCTGTCGTATGTTTTTATAAATAAGTTTTTATTGAAACACAACATGCTCATTTGTTGTACATTGTATATAGTTGCTTTTGTGCTATATAGTGGCAGAGCTAATTATTGTAAGACACTGTGTGGCTTGCAAACCCTGTAAATACTGGGTCTTTTACAGAAAGGCAGACCCTTCCCAACTCTGGTCCATAGTCTCATTGCTGGAGCAGAGACCCAGAGCAGGGGGAGAGATGGGAATTCTAGTGGTCCTGAGCAGTGATGGGACGTCCTGGGGAAGTGCTCACCGGCACTGGACGTTGTCATATTTTTCTCAATAAGCTCGCTGCTTCATCCCTGAAAAGATTAGAAGCAGGGCCCACGGGGATAGAACCTAAGCTCCACAGGAAGCATGGACTGTTTGTTTTGTTCACGGCTGGAACCTTACTGAACAAATGAAAAGATATGTAATTTTGTTTGTGATGCAGGGACCATGTGTACTTTATGTGAAGACAAACACGGAACAGATTAAAGGCCCACAGGGATGCTGACCATGAATATCACTGTCAAGGTTTGGGTTTGTTCTGTCTTTTAGGCAACAAACTGCTCTGGCAGGACCTGAATTACAGAGTGAGGGCTTTTCTAGCCATACAGGGATTTTTCCTCAGCAATTAAGACCTTCACTTAAAGATGACTTTGTTGGCCAAGACTCTAGAATCAACCATTTAAATTTCAAAAAAATCTTCTATCTCATTATCAGATGAATCCTAATGTAATGGGTAGAGTTGTAAATGCTCATTTGTTTTGATTTTTCTTTCATCAGATTGAAGGATTTTTGATACTTGGGGAAGGATGTGAAAACTATAGTTGGTTAATTCTTTCTAGAAAACAAGCTGGATGTTCTGAAAGAACCTGACAGATGAGATGCTGGGCAAGGCCCCTAAGAGACACCTGCTTCTGAGAGGACTGACACTATGCTATGCTTTATTCAGCAATGACTCACTGTTGACTTATGCAGCTCAATGGAACCCTTACCACGGGGTGAGAACGTGGGAAAGAGTGGGTAGGGAGAGCGAGGACTAATGTGACGGAGAGCAGTCAGCATGGCAACTACGTGGACCAAGGGGTGCAGAGAGGGGAGCTGCAGACACTGGAAGTAATCGGGCTGGGGATGGAGAGGGAGGAAATAATGGGGTAGGGGGGGGTTAAAGGAACCAAACTGTACCCTGATGCCAACTGACACCTTGTTTGGAAAGGCTGGAGGCCCCCCCACAGTTGCTCAAATGTAGACCCCAGTCTTTCTGCCCTGGCACATGGCTTCCCAACACTGGGGCATAGGGAAGGACTGAAGCTTCCATATTTATACCCCTCAATACAGTACCATTATGGGATTGAATGCATGCCTAAAAATAAGACCAGAGTATTCCATTTAAAATGCAGTGTGGTAGTAATCATTAAATTCTCAGCCTCTGACACCTTCAACTGGCGGCTTTCTGCCTAGTCTCTTGCATTTATGTTTTTAAAATACTCTAAGTAAATGAGCTAACACAATTTGAGTAAAATTTAGGAAAAACATGGTGAAAGACATATAAAGAAAAAGTTGGCATATAGTCCATGTGTGCTCTGAGCATGGACCCTCAGGGGGCTGGGAAGCAGGGGGTCAGTCCTCCCTCCCCCATTGACCTTGCCTCTCCCCTCAGAGGCTGCTCAGCCTTGGGCTAATGTTCTGCCACCAAGTTCAGCTCTCCCAGGAGGAAGATCGCAACCAGTGACACACACAGTCTGTGACCGCCTCTGAAGAGAAACACTTCACTTTTGGTTTCAAGTCCTCTGGTCTGTAGTTTTTATTTTTAATTTTTAGCTTGGAAATCTGACCTTTATAAAAAGCTAGACTCACTGCCCAGAGAAACAGGAAGGTTACTCACCAGGACACCATGGAAAAGAGGCATCAAAAGCATGCCAATATTTCTCTCTTAGTAAAGCAACACCTCAGACATTACTGCAAGTGGCACCCCTGTGATGCTATTCCTCCCTTAAACATATCCTCTGCCACAGCTTTGACCCCAAGACTGCAAATGATCAACTTACAAGCATGAGGTACAGTACTGCTCTTGTCAATTCCTTTCAAGTTTCTGCCCTACCTGAGGCAGCTGAGTAACACTGGCACTCAGCATCCCAGGACACTCGAAGGGAATCCATGCCTCATAGAGGTGGGGTGCAAAGGGAGGGGTTTCAAGGAAGTCCTCCTGTCAGGGATTCCTGGTCTGTGTCCTCAGCTAGGGCAGGGCAGGAGTGGAAGCAGAAAATGAGCAAAAGGAAGAAAAAAGGAGGTGAGTGAGAAAGGAGAGAGAGGGAGGAGGGATGGATGCATGGCACTGACATCTGGCCCTGAGAAGCAGAGCTGGCACATTTCGACAGGGCTTGAGGCACCAGAGCACCCCACTGCTTTCTACGGCCTCATCACCCCTGAGGCCTGCTGTTAGGTGCCACTTACTTCTATCACCTGTGACCCATTTCCCTCATTTATGTTCCCAGCAGGCATCTAACCTTACAGCCTGAAATATTTGCCGCTAGCAATGACTTTAACCAAACATCATCAGTATAATGAAATAATCTGAACAATTTTATGTCTTACATCCTTTGGAATTCATAGCTGTATCTGACCTATGTGTACCGTTGGGAAGAACAGAATAAGGAAAACAAGACCATTGCATCCCATTAGCGTCAACACTTCAGTAACAGTTGACTGTTGACACACACGCTTATGTGTGTAAGCATGTGTATTTCCTTAGGGTTGGGAAATTCCATGGGATACCAATTAGTCTGAAGAAAAGAGTCAAGGAATTACCAGTTATACGGACTGCAGAGGCAAAGTGATTAGAGAAGCAGAAAAAAAAAATCAAATGTGGAACATAAGGCAGGTGTTCAGAGAGAAGAATATTCACAACAGGCTGAGATATCCATTAAGTGAGAAGAAGGGGGTGGAGGAGAAGAGAACAAAGGGGAGCAAAGGAAGGAAAGAGACAGAAGACAAATGACTCTGGGACAGAGGGAAACAGAAATGCCAAATAAGAACAAGAATAGGAGGCTGGCCTTTTCTAAACATTGGGAGAAAAACCAAAAAGGGATCCCCAATACAAAGGAATATTTGTTGGAGCTGATCTCTCTCAACAAAATTTGGAATCTTTTGCTTTATATAAGAAAAAAAAATCTCAGATCCTGGTGTGATAGCCTAATTATAGGCAAATTCCTCCCAGGGAAAGGCCCAAATGACACCCTCCTTTTTGGAGAGCCACAAATCCTTCAGTGTAACAGCCCTGCACTCAGACCCTTGCTGTCTCCTCAGTGATGTGCAAATTTCTCATGCAGAAATCTGCTAAACTCTCATTTCTGTGATATTTCCAAATTTCACTTTTCAGAGGACAATAGCCACGGAATGCCAACAACTGGTGAAGGAACGTGATTGCATACATCATTTGTGTATTAAATAAAGAAAGCGAGTAATAACATGAAAATTACTTTTTGCCTTTCAACAGTAAGACCACAAGAATCAAGCCCTTCCTGCAGTGAAGCTTTATTGCAAAATGAAGGGTGTTGCCCTGGTTTTGTGGGGATCCTCACCTCAAATTTCTGCCTGAGCTCCACGTTGCCTTCTTCATCCCCTTCCGGGATGGGCACATTGTAGTACTCACCTTCTTCTTGGTTAAGCAACTTGTACCTTGAAAGACATGGGAGAGAAGGGAATTAAGGGCAAGTTCAGCAGTTCTTCTCCCCATTAGTTAGTGGGACTGTTGGAAAAATGCCTCCTGAGGAGAGACTGTAGCCGGACAAACGGCATCTCACCAGGGCCTGAAACTGGCCAGTTTTGGTCATCTCTCAGTGATGGACGGAGATATGCTCTGGCTCGGGGCTTCCTTACCATCCACTGGCTGGCATCTTCATTAGCTCCGAAACACCAAAGGAAAGGGATCCCATGAAATCATTCCTTGTTGTTCGATCCCAGTCCCAGATTTCTACGGACAGTCGTCGATCTTTGTCTGAAGGTTTTAATTTGCTAGAAAGACATACACACACACACTAGGTTATACGGATAATTTTTTCTTTTTGGAAATACCACATGGTTATGGTTTGAGCCTGAAATAGACAGAATGCATTCAATTCTCTTCCTGTGCCTACTCCCAAAACAACCAACCAACCAACCAACCAACCAGTTCTTCATACTGGCTATCAAAATTCTAGACCAAGGAATAACAAACTTTGACCCTGGGCCAGAACCAGCCTGCTACCTATTTTTATAAAGTTTTGTTGGAATACAACCACTGCCATTTGTTTACATATTGTCTGGCTGCTTTGGAACTATAATGTCAGAGAGACCCACAAAGTCTAAGACAGAATACCTGGCCTTTTACAGAGCAGAACCTGCAGGCTTCTCTCCAAAAGAGAGAAACTAGGAGTCCACACAGAGGACCACCTGCTGGGCTCTCTGCTGTCAGGGCTCTCTGCTGTCAGGACTCTCTTACTCCTGACTTCTGTTACCATTCCCTCCTTCCTTCTTCCACCATCTCTGCTTCTGAAATCCTGGCAATCCTTTAAGACCCACTTCAAATGTCACCTCCTCTAGCAAGTCTTCCCTGCTTGAAGGTGAGGCTATCTTCCCATTATTCACTGATTCTATATTATAGAAATTGTTAAATTCTTGCCTCCTACCCTCTCTTAGCCCTGAAAAGAATCTAAGTCCATTAACAAGAGGTGGGGCACACTTTATTTGCTTTTATGTCACCTCTAATACCTTAAGCTATTTTTTTTATTGTTGTTCAGAATAGGTAATGATAATAATTTGGGCTGGGAGCCAGTGGCTCACGCCTGTAACCCTAGCTACTCAGGAGGCAGAGATCAGGAGGATCGTGGTTCAAAGCCAGCCTGGGCAAATAGTTCACAAGATCCTGTCTTGAAAAAAACTCTTCAAAAGAAAGGGCTGGTGGAGTGGCTCAAGGTGTAGGCCCTGATTTCAAACCCCAGTACAGCAAGAAATAAAAAACCAAACTGGTGACTTGCACTCTGCAACTCCTGGTAAACCAAGTTACTACCCCAAGTTACTACCCACCAACAGAGGCGACAATAGCTGCCTACCTAACAGCAATTAACAAGTTCTTAGGAATCAGAACACGTTTAGAGACATTTTTCAAGGACCTCTTTGTCATCACTGATAACAAGGAGTGGAATTCAATTCAGAAGAGCAGAGCAGACTTACAATGTGAACGACTCATTCCACTGGGGGTTTAGTGTGGAGCGGATGGTCTTGGTTTTCTGTTTGCTTTCATTCTTGGGGTCAGGGATAAGTTTCAGCTTCACATAAGGATCTGAAAGTCCATTTGGATCCATAGGGATTAGATTTTTTGCATCTCGTACTGTGAAAAGAGAAAGAAGAAAATGTTACAGAGAGAGGGGTCAACCCGCGTTGCCTAGCGTCCTGTGTTGGTACCAAGTTGAGTCAAGAGATGTGAGGATCACATCTGAGGGGACAGAAGGTGAGAACTGAAAGCCGCTGGTGTTCAACATGAGACAGCTGCCGGCCATCTTTACTGGCAGAGACAACAGGTGTCATGTGAGCTCTTGAGGTCCAGCCTTGAGGTTCAGTGCTGGCCTGAACTGGCAGCACAAGCGACACTCAGGCTCCTGATAGAAATGCCCAAATGTGGGTCCGACCTGAACCTGCAGAAGCAGAACTTGTATTTTGGCCCTCCAGCTTCCCTTCCCCCATCTAGACAATCAGTTCAAGCTGGTCCATTGTGCAGCACCTGTACTTGAACTCTTAGACAGTGTTTTCACTCTTCCTCATAAAGACTGGTGGATTCCAACCCTGTCTGTTCCTTGGAATCACATGGGAAAGGAATTAAAACTCCAATGCTCAGAATTAAATTAGACTGTCCAAGGATGTGGGGCAAGTACAGTTTTCTTTTTTTGGTGGTACTGAGGTTTGAACTCAGGGTCTTACACTTGCTAGGCAGGCACTCTATCACTTGAGTCATCCCCTCCCAGCCCTTTTTGCTTTAGTTATTTTTCAGATAGGGTCTCAGTTTTTATGCCTGGAGCTGGTCTTGGATTGCAATACTTCTATGCATGCCTTTTATGTGGCTTGAGTTACAGCTGAGCATCACCATAGTCATCATATTTGTTGAGATGGGTTCGTGCAAATTTTTTGCTCAGGCTGACCTTGAACTACCATCCTCTGAATTTCCCCCTCCCAAGTGCAGGCATGAGCCACTGCACCTGGCTCTCTGAGCGTTGTTTTGAAAAGCTCCCAAGGTGATTTTTATTGCATAGCAGGGAGGAACCATGGTGTATACAGTTGTAGTTCAGAACTGTTGCCCAATGTGTAGGACCAGAAACAATAGCAACAATATCACCCGGAAACTCACTTGACATGTAGAATCTCAGGCCCTGGTTCAGAATGACTAACTCAGAATCCTCACTTTAGTAAAACCCTCACTTTAGTAAAACCCTCAGGAGAGACCAGTACACATTCTAGATTGAAAGGCACTAACATGGGAATAAAAAGCAATAAGGAAAGGCACCTCACCTGCACAGGGAGGCAGGCAGAAGCATATGTCAAGTAGGGTGATTGTCCAAAGCCAGTGCATGTCAGTTCATTAAGTATGACAATGATGAGACGAGACAAAGATTTGAGACTGCTTACCCCAAATGCCTCCCTTACTGTCAATCAATGGCATCTTCCCCAACAAGGGTAAAATTCCCACCACTAGGGTCCCTAATTGGTTGGACACCATGGAAACACCTGCCACTGGGACCAGGCTCTCTACCCAGTGGCTCTCCCAGAAGTATCATCTACTGAACTACAACACTAAGGGTAGGGCCCAGGGGTCTGTCCAGCAAAACTTCAGGTAATTCTGAGGTACATAAATATTGGTGAGCACAGATCTAGCTAGCTAGCACAGATGACCAGAACTACAGAAGAAATTAGAAGAAGATGTTGGTAGTGACACGGAATAGAAGAGGAACTGAGAAGTGCTAATGATGTTGGGTCTTTGGGCACAAATGAGGGGGTCCATCCCTAACGCAGAAGTCAAAGGCAAGCATCACTCATACCTATTTGTGGTCCCACTGTGTGTGACTCCTGCTGGGCCAAAGCCTTATATCCTTCTTACATGGCAGCCTTAATACAAGGTGACAGAGGGGACCATATTCAAACAGTCTGAGTGAGCAAGTGGGCTAGCTTAGGTCTGTCAACCACAGAGAAGCAGAGCTCATGTTCCTCATACCGCCTTTGTGACCTGCAAGTATTTCTTCCCATTAAGACACTATCTATCTCACCTGGCTTGGGAGTGGACAGGGCATGATCAACAGGCAAGCATGGGATCTGCAGCTCAGCAGGTCTACTTTCAAATCCTGGCTGTACCTCCAATCTTGAATCTGGCTCAACTAGAAAAATGAACTGTGTCTTAATTCTGCTAGTATAAGCTAGCTGGGAGAACTAAATGAAATAAAGTAGAGAAAGCACCTTACATAGTCAGGGGCTTGGAAAATGGTGGGGGCGGGGAGGGAAGATTGCATGATGTGAGCACTTACTGTGCCCTGGCACAGTGTCTCATGTCTCATCTTCACTACTTATTTGGAAACTTTCAGCGAGGCTGTAGGTCTCCCGAGAATTCAAAGTTTAATTCAATGCAGAAGGTCCAATCTCCTAAGACCTCAACCTCAAGTGTCACAAAAGATGAAAATTTTGAGTATAAAAACAGAGCTCTCCTGTAAGGATGGAAAGGGGGGTCAAAGTTCTGATTAAAGACCACAATAAGAATCTGATAACTTGTTTAAAAGCAGAAAATGCCCTGGAATGTCTACCACTGGAGACTGCAGAAGGTCATGTCCCAGATAAGCTAATGAAGATGCTTATCAAAGAGTCGCCTCCTGCCATTTGCAGAATTATTGTGGGTACCGGTTTTCCTATCTTTAATTTATAGCCCTGACAGCCAGCACACATGAAATCATTTAAGGCTGATCGCTTCTGAATGGCGATGAGATAAAATCTTGATGGGAATTAAAGCTGGGAGTTTTCTGCTGAGATACCATCACTGAAGTTGAAAATAAAGTTATCAATTCCAAATGTCATTGAAGCAGACATTGGGTCCAAATCTCAATTTCTTATTGCAGCCCAGAAATAACTCATCCCAGGTCAGGACACTTGAATCAGGATTAGACTAAACCAGCCTGAGGTCCACCTGCTCAGAATTTGGGCTCTGGGAACTGGGCTGCCTATGCATGAATTCTGACTCTGCTACCTTATGGTTGTGGGCAAGATATTTAATCTCCCTGTGCCTCAGTTTCCTCATCTGAAAAACCGTACTTCCCTGATATGTCAGGATGATACGGGTTCTTAGAACAGTAACATGTACATCAAGAACCCAATAATAATTCTTATCATTGTTGTTGATACAAGTGACTGGTAGAGAACAAAACCAAAAAAGATCTTCAGAGACTGGACCCTTGGCTTACGACTTGGCAAACAGACGCTGTGGAAAACAGTACAGTGAGAAAATTTTCTAACATGGCTGCCACATAATGAGTGATTTCAACAATGGACTTAAAAGCAGGAACGATGTGGGGGGGCATTACTAACTGCAGTGCTTCTCCTCCTATCCGGAAGAGAGGGAGCTAGGAAGAGAACACACTGAAACTAAAGTGGGGGAGTAGATTGGGAAGAAGGGTTAGAAGCAGAAGAGAGTAACAAGGGAAAGATGTGATCAGGATGTGTGGGTCCCAGCACTGGAGAAGGGTCCTTGGCCCACATACTGGAAATACCTGAGATGCTTGAGTCAAATCCTGACACCTGGCCTTACCCCAGGGACTCAGATTCACTTGGTGCAAGCTGAGACGAAGGCACTGGCGTTTTTCAAGCTCCTCAGATTAGTCTTATCTGGCCCTATTTGGTGCACTGGCAGTAGTTCTCAAAGTGTGGTCCCTGGGCTAGCATCCTTGGCATCACTTGTAAACTTGGTTTATCATTCATGTCTTTCTTTAAATTTTCTCACTTTTTAATATCCAACATTTTAAAAAGAAAGGTATCAGAGTGTATATAAAACCAAGATTGTTTTTCATAAATAGGAAGTACCCATAAAGCAATATAATGAAAATCTGTTACGCACTTCTAGCCAGGTGCAGTTGCCTGAGGCTTGCACTCTCCTAGCTACAGAAGGGAGCGCAACAAGCATAGAGCGTTAAAGAGCTTCTAGCCCTGGACTGAGTATTCCTCTGCATTACATTCAAGATTGAAATAAAACTGAGAATGAACTTTCTCATCATGTAACCTAACGCTTTTTAATGTCAGTTCTGAAATTTCAGAAACCATCTCAAGTGCTACTGAGAGTCCTGCCCCTCAGCAGTCTTGCCCCACACATGGTAAGCAGAATCAGAAGGAATGCCATTCTGAGATTTTTGAGGATGGAGAATATTCCCCAGTCTAACAGCAGCAGTGGATCCAAGAATAGCCTTGGCAAATATCCCATGACTCCTTTCTTATCTCTCACCTTCTGCAAGACCAGATTGTTTTGATCCACAGAATTAAGACAGAAGAATCATGCTACTTTGATGAATCTAGTATGAAGAATGAGGGTTTTTTTTTTTAAAGCTTTACCGTGCCAACTCGGCTACCCAAGGTAGGTGGTTTCTAAACATAGCAATACAGATACAACCCAATTCCCTTGCTTAATTCTCACAAACTGTGCTCCTTGGGGTCTGTTCAAAAAGGCCCAGGACTCCATGGAGGAGCCTGGTAAGAATGCTTTCTCCTCTCATCTCATCAGCAGTTCTGCATCCTTTATGGGTAAGGGACAGCTGCTGAAGAAATACACCTGTTGAAAATAAAGGTACTGGCTACTTCAGAATGCAAAACCTGTTCTGTAATTCCAAGACTTTAATAGAGATATAGATTATTAATTATATCCCTATCTCTTGGCTTGAGATAGCTATTCTGAAATTATCAGCTGTCAAGTACAATACTGAGAAAAATTGGCATGGGTTAGAATGTTAAATCATTTCTGGATAACAAAAGGTATCATTTCCAGATAAAACACATTCAAGTAAGAGTACAAAGACTGAGAAGTTCCCACCCAGAATGACCTGACAGAGGACATGTGAGTTTTGAGTAAGTGTTTAGGAGTAAGGTGGGCTATAGGCATATGATCTGTCTCTCAGCTTGGAGGACTGGATAGCCTTGCCCAGACCGGGGAAATCCAAGCCATGGGGGTCTGGGCTGGGGCAGGGGATGGAATAGTGTCATTTTAGTCACCAGGCAAGTTTGCTGAGGGGCCTGCAGGATGGGGGGAAAGTAGAGATGTGAACTGGGGCAGGCAGGAGTGACTACCACACTTTCTCTGGCATAAGCAAATAGTAC